CCAGGCCGCGTCCCCGAGCCCTCCCCACCGGGGTGTCCGTAGCCGCTGGGGCGGGACGGGGGGGAGGCTGCCGGGGCCCCTGGGGTAGTAGGGGCTCTCCGGGGACGGTGCTGGGGATAAGGTGTTCTCCCCGGCCTTGACGACCCGGGACTTCAGAGAGGGGGAGCTGTTTCCCCGCTGCCCGAGGTAGGCCCAAGTTCCCTCTGCCCCCGGTTACAGGGCCGCAGCCCAGGGCGCTGCTCTCCCCTTCCCCGCCCCTGTCCTTTCCTTGGCCGTCAGCCTTTCCACGGGGTTTGCCTACGGGCTCTCCCCTCCCTCGGTGGTCTTCCGGGGAAACGGCGTCCTTGGGCAGGTTCTGGAGAGATTGGTCAAATTGAAGGTCCCAGTGCAGGTGCCTTATGAGTATTTGTTATTTTCAGTTAAAACCTTGTGCCTGCCTTTTGTAGCAATGCGTATAAGGGGCGTGCTGTAATGTAGTCATCTGACAAATTGCTCCTCAGCTCCCCAAAGGAACTGCCTTCAGGATCTGACTAACTCTGGATGCACCCGGTTGTTATCTTAATTTCTCCTTTAGGTTGTTTAAAACAACCCAATTGGGTGACGTTTGTTTGTGTTTCTCAAGAATTGGATCTAAGAGGTTTCTGTTTTTTACGTGGATGCCTATAATGAAAATGCAGAAGTGATTTTTACTGTTGCAGGGATCAGTATGTGGAGCCTACACATTGTTCCCAGAACTGGTGCTTTGGGGTGCACACTGCACTCAGGAATTGAGCTCTGAGCCATACTTTCAAAATGAAACAGTGTTATTTGATTGTAAAAAAGGATTGTAAAAAAAAAAAAAATCCACTGGCCATAAGGGGTTTTGAAATGCTATCACAACCACCACAGTGGTTGAATTGGACACACATTAAACTGATCGGGCTGAACAGGTAGTCTGAATTTGTTGCTGGATGGCCAGGTGCTTCTGGAGGAAAGCTTGTCTAGAGAAAGCTTACTTTAGCTGTTGCTTCTCATCTGAAATGGCACCCATCCAGATGGCTGCTTCCAGGGGAAATTGACTCTTTGAAATTTAATAAAACATTTCAGTGAAAAAGATGGATCGTTGATTTCAGAAATAGAAAAAGAATTAGTGTCGTCTTTTTTTTTTTAAAGTATGCCTGTCTCACCCAAGAGTAGATGTAGCAGCTTTAGCAGTCCTCTTAGTTTGGAATTGATTCCCTGTGCCCGTTTGGACACCGAGGAGGAAAAGCTGTTGGACAGAAAGAACAATAGAGGAGAGCCACCTGATAAAAATACAATAAAGAGTGGGTTATACATTAAGGGAAAGCCACTACCTTAAAAATTGGTGCTATCTAAAAAATTGTTAAGGATTTGGGACTTCGAGGTACTGCTACACCTACGTGTACTCCGTGAACAAGGTGAAGAGAGCTTCCTTATTGAATGCAGTGTGTTAAAGCATGCAGTGTTGCCTGGAGGAAGAGCAAATACTTTTATTGGGTGGAACTTTGGATCTCTGGTTCACTGAGAGCGCCATATCCAGACAAGAAAAAAAAAAGAAGCTGTGACAAGCCAGGTACTCATCAGGGGACACCGACTCTTTGGTGACATCTTCAAGCAGAGTGTGGTGTACATTGGGCTGTGGTTGACAGCCGGCGTCACAACTGTCAGCAGTAAGGGAGGGTGAATGTGCCTGTGACATGTCTGTGTCAGCCATCTCCCCAGAAAGTGGTTTCAGCAGTGGAGTTTGATGTATGTTCTCGGCTCTCACGTTGGCAGTTATGGTATGGCAGAGGCAGCGGGCTGGTTTTTCAGCTGGAAGAGGAGAAGGAGGAATGGACTACAAATGCGCTCTGGTAAACGAGAGCTGTCAAAGAGATTTGCTGTAGATGTGGGTCATACCAGTGCAGCCATTGCAGCTGTAGCAGTAGAGGATTCTGGAGAAGATGGAGGGAGTTTTCTTCGTGAAAGCAATACAAAGCCTTTTGATGCCAGAAATTAGGGCAAACACATCTGTTGTCTGGAATTTCTCAGCTGACCCTTGGTATACCTGGCACGCTCCTTACAATGTTTAAAAAATGTGTCAGACAGGGCAGGGACTCGCCTTGGTGCTTCCAGTGTTGCAGCAACACTTGCAGACCACACACCCTGCATGCTGGGCCTGAATGTGATGGTGCTGCTGGTAACCAGAAGCTTGGGAAGTGTTTCTGGATTTTTCTACTGTTACATGTGAATTTTTGCCCCCTGAAGGTGACATATTGAACTATTTCTTTTCAACGGATAGGCTCAGAGCCAGTTGTGGTTTAACATCTCCAGGCTTGGGTGTTCCTGTTCCATCTTTGCCTTCTAAGCCAGGTGCCTGGGAGGAGAAAGGACATGAATCTTAACTATGGGACGCAGAATCTCAACTACATGCTACTATGAAGGAACTCAGTTATGTGAATGCACTTAAATAACAGATACACAGAGCTATTATAAAATTGATTACTGAAGACGCTTTTTTTTTTTTCAAGGCCAACTTAAGTTCATACAGGTTGTGGCGCTAGGCAGTTTCCGTCTAGAATGTGACTGTACAGCATTGTAGAAGAAACATTTTTGATGGCTTTGGAGAAAACACAACACAAAAATACCTGTTTGACTGTTGATATGTGGACCCTGAACCAACCACGGACTACTGACAGTGATGGCCTACTGGATATCTTCTGAGACACTGCACCAGAAGTCCCATTTTAGAAAACAGGCAGCTGCCTTCCACTGGCTTTGCTAAAACTTCTGCAGTATAAAGTGTCCTACAAGAACCAAGTTACCAAACTGGTGTGTGGCTTTCCCTTAATCCCCTCGCCCCTGGCTTTCCAGCTTCTGACAACGCTGCTGCTGCATTGTGGGCACAGTGCAAGGTACCAGCTGCTATGTTTTACCGTATTTTAATATTAATGATTCAAGACTTTGAGCACAGGAACACTGAGAACAGGTTAGCAGGTACTTAAGAAACTTGTTTGTTCATTCTGCTAAGGCTCATCAAATTCTTCAGAAAATCCAGCATTCAGAACCATCTACCACATGATCACTTGAAGCAGGAAATAGCTGCTCAGTGAACCTCTCCCTACCTTTTATATGTTAAAGTGACTTTAAAACATCAAAAGGTGGAGAAGCATCCTCCTGGGAAGGAAAATGGGGCTATTCTCAGTTCAATCCAGTGGTCCCAGATGTCTGATGGGTGCAAGATTCATTGCCTGCAGGTAGAGGCCAGTGGGGAACTGAAGTTCTTGGACAGGTGCTGCCATCGGTCACATCCTTCTGGCTTTGCAGAGCACTTGGAAAGACTTCCAGATCAAAGGTGTCACTGTTGCTCTTGGACTGGGACATGGGTGAAATATTTTAGGCTTGAAATGGAGCAGGGCTCTCAGATCTGAACGCTTTGTCTTGGCCACTTTACTAGATCCCTGCTGTAAAGGTTGCTTTGAAGAATTCCTTCTGCCTCTTGATGTGTCAAGCTCAAGACAGATCTGAAGCAGCGTCTGGTCTGACAGAGTTATTCTTTGACTGTTAGAGAAACACCAGGCCAATCAGCCCTTTCAGGAACAGATTGATTGCCTCTCATCTTAAGGAAGAATGTCCTAATTCAGGTTCCTGAAGTGGTGTATTTTCAAATACAGTTGCTCCAGCCAGTAAGGGACAGCTGTGCCTCATAGTAACTCCCGGATCATGATGAAAGGTGACCCCGACTCAATGGCAGAAGCAGCTCAGACCATCATCTGCTTTAACCTTTGCCTTCTTGGCTGGCAACCTTGCAGTTGCCCTGAGTGGGTCTTCAGTCCTGTAACCCCCAGTCCGTGTTTAGACAGTATTTAACAATTAGAATTGACTAAAACAAATGTAAAGAGTGGAAATTATTGCTATTCCGCTTCAGCTTTGGACAACTTAGTTTTAGATTTTCATTCAGAGGATGAAGTGTGTTAGCAAGAGGCTGTTCCATGCTTTAGACGCCATGAAGATGCCTGGTTTACAGGCACATTGTAGGGTGGTTTTTCAGCCTGCAGAGCATGCTAAGGGGCAGGTAAAGCAGCAGCAGCTGTTTTTGCAGCTGGGGTAACGCTGACCAATTGAAAAGAGGGGTTAGAACACGTAGTTACTGGTTCTCTTCCTTCCTTGTCATCCGACTGGGGCGTTAAGTATCTTTAATATTTTTATAAGAAATTAAAGGCACAAAGCGGACCAGCAAGAGAAACTGTCCAAGTGAAATACTTTGTGCTTTATAACCAAAAAGTACTCACAGGTAGGTGCAGTAACACTTCTCTCAAGAAGTCATTGGGGTGCAAAAAAAATTTTGTTCCCTTTTTGCTGTTCAGATAGAGAACAAAGGCAGGGCACCAAGCTGGAAGGTTAGACCAGGGAGTAGGACTGTTTCTTCAGTACCAAGAAAGACAGGCTTGTAAAAGAAATGAACAGATTTTCATTGTACTATTTATCTTCCCTTAGCAAAGGTGAAGTTTGTGGCACTTGGTGGCATGTTTTTCCTGACCCCTAGCTACTGCATCTGTTTTTTGGTTTTGGTTTTTTTTTTCAAAATGAATTTAAAATTTCTTAATGCAACAAATTTACTAGAGTTCTGGAGAAAAAAAGTGTTTAAAATTCTCATCGACTTCCATTAGAGACTTGCTGAGTGCACCAGAGTTACTCATTTTTATACAGACTTTCAGAAGTTAGTTCAGTTGATTTCTGTTTAGTGCAGATTGCCATGTTAATTGACACCAGTTTAAAAAA